TATGAATATAATAGTGAAAAAAACATCCGCCAAAACATTCTTAGTATTTAATTTGGAAAAGATTATTGATATCTTTTGTTCAAAAGTATAGATCTACAAGGATTAGATTCTACTTACAGAATGGTGCTCACTTTTACTTCATGTAATTTGAATTAGACAAGTAAAACGTATCCTAATATCATACAATAGTTCTAACTCATTGTTTAATACATAACCCTGTGAACGGTTAATGAATTGCACTGTTTAATTTTTGTTTTCATGTAGTACTACGGTGTATGCTACTTATGTCGAAAGACATAAGTAGTATGTAAAACCAATCAAAAGTGGTAAACCTGGCAGTAGAAAACTAAGAAAATAGAGTTGAAGAAATATTAAGGGAAAAAAGAGAGGAATTGTGAACATGAAGAATCATACAGAATATGAAGGACAAATGATGGAAATTTACAAATGAAGTATTCACTATATGGTTCTTATATTTTACCAAGATACTCTGTAATTTTGTTTTAAAATACATTAGATTGTCACCCACCTATGTTTTCATTCATTAACATACCAATACATGTCAATTAGGAAAAACGATTCATTGTTAGATCATATTGCCCATAGTTGATAACTTTGTAAAAATCAAACTATCAGTTGGGATACATCTGTATATTTGTAAATTATTCTTATTGCAAAAATATATATCAGTACAAAAAGTCTTCTAATTAGTATTCATCTTCATTCAATTTTCCGCGTTTTTGATGGTTGACTGATTTCTTCATCGCTAGAGATGACTAATTGAGGACTGGTTTCTCGAACTGGATGAGCTCGTTTTAATAACTTACGACTAGGTTCTTCTTTATTCTCATCTAATATAACACAATCACTATAATACAATATGTGACAAAGAAAAAAAGATATTGGTTCATTTAGACATTTAGTAGAAATATAAAATAGTTCGATAAAAAAAATGAACTACTTTATTTCTAAAAGATAAGACTATTATAATTGTAGCAAGGAAATAAAGAAAATACATTCAAGTTATTCTACTTTTGTATATGGTAGAGTGTTATGACAAGATTTATGATGAGATTGTATGCAACAAGCTTCCAGAAGCTTGGCACTCAGGTCAATCAGCAATCAACAAGCACATTGAAATCGATCCCATTTATCAACCATTCTGAAAAATTATGCACAAAAATAGGAACAAAAACCAAACCAAAGGAAGATACAACCAAAACAAAGAAGTAAACAATGACAGGTTTAAAATCAACAAGAACTAATCAAGATCGAGGTCTACAGGACAAGCTGTGAAACACAAGTGGAGAAATTCGAATACTTCACTTCTATCTGAAGTTTGTGCTGATGATTTCGTTCAGAAAAACGATGAAAGCTCCACGACCAAAACATCCAGCTCAGAGAACAAAACTCCATCAAAATCATCCACCTGAGCTACATATTTTCTGCACCATACAAAAGTTTACACCCAAGTGAATAACCATTAGTCAAGGACAGAAGTATAATATTAATTTGTGCGTATAAAGAAACACTTGAGGGGGAAGCCAAAAAAGGAAGTTTAGAGGTGAAAGTCGATGTAGGAGGAATAATAGGAAGTGAAGACGGAGGTTGATTAGGAATACAGTGGTTTTGAGTGCTGTTAGAGGTATGAGGGCGGTTATCACTTCCCGGTCGCCCACACCGTGGAAGGGTTGTTCTGGAGGTACCTGAAAAGGAAATTGGATTAGAGGTGGTCTTAGTGACCTGGGAGCGTGACCGCAGAACCCAAGGGACAACTGCTTGAGGTCGGTCATACAAGACCTTTTTATGGGTGATTTTTGTGTTAGCTCCGTACTTGTTGAGACCTTACCGCCGGAGACGGATATCCGTGGGATAAGGCGAGGTGTGCATTTTTAGGGTCGACCTTTTCTAACCCCACCCCTCCTTGTGGGAAGGCAGCATCGCTGTCATGCTGGTTGGCTGAAGGAAACACCTTACTGCTGTCACACCTCTGTAAGTCAGCAGTACGACTTCGCCTTCGGACCTTGGGTTTGTTGCTTTTAGTCTTACCGCTCTTTAACCGACCTGTCTGACATGGTAGGACCTTGAGGAACGGTTGTTCCAGCAAGTATAGCTCGGTTGCTTCATCACGATAGGCAAGCCCGACCACCACGTCAAGGTAGCAACAACGGTCGGGAAATGCAAAGTCTTTCGGTAGCACTGAGCAACAATGCCAAAATGTTTGGAATGCGCTTCTCTCCCTCTTAATGCAAGTTGTTGCTTCAGGACTGGTCTACGTCAACACCTCAACTAAAAATAAGGAGTGAAGTAGTCGAACGCGTTGACAACTTCACTTATCTTGGAAGTCGGATCAATCCTAATGGGTTGGTGTCTGACGAAATCTCAGCATGAATTCGAAAAGCTCGCTTGGCTTTTGCCAACTTACGTCACCTATGGCGAAGGCGAGATATCAGCCCATCAATTAAAAAAACGAGTATACTGCGCGGCAGTCTGTTCTGTTTTAATTTACGGCAGCGAAACATGGCCTTTAAGAGTAGACGACACCCGTAAGATACTAGTATTTGACCACAGATGCCTTAGAAATATTGCTGGCGTCTGCTGGGATCACCGGGTAAGTAATAGTGAGGTTAAATAGGGTATGGTAAGTCAGTTGATGAGATTGCGAGTCTTCATCGACTGAGATGGTTGGGCTACGTGTTGAGTGTGCCTGAACACCGATTACCACGACGTGCAATGCTAACCGGTGTTGGAGATGGTTGGAAGAAAGTTGGGGGCAGCCAAACTAAAACGTGGCATCGGTCCTTGAAGTCACTAACTTCTAGTCTGAGCCATGTTGGTAGATGCAGACTACTTGGTTGGGGTCCGCGTGACCATCGTAACCAATGGCTGGAGACTGGCTCAGAATCGACCACAATGGCGTCGGTGTATACACTCTGTCTTCCCTTAAACTAAGAGATTAAAATCGCCTCATATCTTTCTTTCTACGAACTAATTCTTTTTTCCTGTACTATATCCTTATTGCAATCTTTCTTTTATATATTACTACCTCTGAATTAACTACTTTTATGAATCCGGTGTCCATCTTGTTGTGTTAATGAGGTATGGAAACTTGGACCGATGCACATATATGCCAGGTCCTACGTTGTAGCTGACTGACTGACTTTGCATTTCATTAGCGTCTTTACCAAACAGGACTATGTCATCTAAGTCGATAAGTGGATCTCCTAGTAGGAGATCAATTGCCGAAAATCCAGTCTACGAGCAGTGGGTCTATGATGAAATTAAACAAAAGTGGAGATAACGGACAGCCTTGCCGTACACCACTTAAGGTTACGAAATCAGGTAACAGTTCGCCATAAGCTCTGACTCGATTAGTAGTGTTCCAGTAAAGAGCCTTCACAAGATTTGTCTTTAATTTTATTAGTAAAGACACATAATTTGTGATCCCGTCATGCTCCAAAAATATCTGTAATCAAGTGACCGTTAGCTTTGGATGCACTTCAATTAAAATGATAGTCTTCTGGCAAACAGTATTCTTGATAAGTGCCAGAGCGACAGTTAAGACAAACTAAGTAAACTTTGTTTGTTTAGATTTACATGAAACTATATTATATTTAGAAGTATCATAATTCTGAGATAAAAAGTATGGGAGTAATTTACCACACAATCACTTCCGTTACTTCTACACGTGCACAGTATTGACCTGGATTGGCAAAATCTACTGTGCAGATAAACTGGCCGCCTTGAGTTACTGAGTGTTACAACTTATTTTTGGACTTTAGTCAATATAATTCATATTCTGCATTTGAAATGAAAGGCTGATTATAGCTAACCTAACTGATAACTAATAGATTTAGAGCCACTATTCAACACCAAGATGCGGGCTCAAGAAAACTAATTGATTTATCCTAGCTTCTTGCAAGAATATTGGATTCGAGTCCAAAATTTAGAGAGTGACTACTCAATACGCATTTGCATGATACTTTGTGAAGCAATAGTTGGGAATACTCAGATAGCATGGTATATTATGGAGTCAAATAGGGAACTCTTAGAAACAACAATAATCTCAACAAATTTTTGTCAGTAATACGTGGATAAACAGCATTTAAGTGTCACCAATCAAGTTGGATACAGTTAATTATACTTACTTGTTATTTTTTAGTGAACAAACAGACAGTCTGTGTGTGGGGAACTGACGTATATGCCAAGATGAATCGGATCCTTTTATTACATAAGGTATGTAAGGGGTTTGACAATCTGTAACACACAGGCTGAGAGAATCACCTTCATCACTTGAAGTCGGTAAAACACGAGAGAAGAGTGCACCTGGTTTCTTTACTAACCGTTTCATAAACTTTCGAAGAAATTTTTCTACTTGCGGATTGCAGGTGTCCAGAAGCATTTTAGAAGTGTAGCCTGGTGGGATTTGAACCACTGAAATGACGTAGTCGTCAAGGTCCATTCTCAACAATACCTTCGAGAGATGAACTTTGTATGGTTTGTTATCAATGAAAATGCCCTCAATTTAGTTAAAAAATTGTCTCAGTTTAAATGGATCAAACAGTTGTGTTTATAAACACACAATCGGATCTATTTGAACAATCAGAAGATTCTGATAAGATTATTTCCGGAATATGAATTAAACTGAAGTTATTCACAGACAGAGAAATACCACAATCAATGTGGAGGACTTAACTATACAATGATTAGATGAACACTTAGTAAATCAAATGTTTTCGTAACGAGTGATTATAGTTGTTGATTTATTTGAACTCGTGTTGTATTGTAAGGTGGAGGTATCAGATTCCTTGTTATCAGTTGACCGCAGTAGTTCTAGTAGCAAGTAGTTCGGAACTTTCTCGTTTTTTCTTGATTACACGCGAACAAAGAAGAAATCCGTAGAACAGGCAGAAATTACTACTTCTTTGGTCTTTAATCAGTTTTATTTGATACAGTGCTGATAAGACTACAAAGCGTTCTATTTGTTTTTAGTTTGTAGACTAGTAATGTAACGCCTGACTATTGGTAAATTTGCCTGTAGTCGGAGGGTACATTCTATACTGAGATGTAGAGGTTCGCGGATAGCCGGAAGGTACTTTGTGTACAGGAGAATAAGCAGAATAGCGTGAATGAGGAGAGCTACAAAAGAAAAAAGAAAGAATGAGCCAACGACCCAGAAAGCACACACGATGCACCTGCATTTACTAAGAAGAGAAACAGACAATAATCAGCATTACCATAAGCCTCAAACTAGCATGATCTGGGAATCAATTGATTTCCAGTTTTAAAACTAGCAGACAGCTTAGCATGCTACACGGAGCTGTGGTCAGTGTGTTATTCCAGGAGAAAACTTCGTCTGATGATACTGATACACTTACACTAAACAATGAGAACAATGAAAAATAGTATACAACACCAGAAGCGTCGATGGGCTGCAGTAGCGTCTGTAGTAAATACTGCGCCATAAATCCAGTCTTAGGTCCTCAATATGTTTTTGACGTGCTAGTATTGTTTCAGACTAAAGAGAATGAAACGAAATGGTGACAAGTAACTAACCATAATGCGTAATTAACGATAATCTAACAACAAATAAGCAATAGCTACAACGTGAAACTGGAATTTGAAACGACCCAAATGTATGATTACAGAGTCGGTAAAGGTATAATTTATAGACGAGGGAATCAGATTTAAAAGCAAAACTAAGAGCATATGTTCGGCGAATCGACACTTCGCTACCGCGCTAGTTTCAAAAAGGGCAGTGATTTTTGTACTTGTTGTGATTATACTTGCTTTGGGTACTTATTGCACTAAAAAGCATTCTTGGTCTACTTTAACTAAGAGTACTTTGGTTAAAGTTTGAAATTTTTCGCTAAATTTTGTTCTGTGTACCCGTTTTTAGTCCTTGATTAGCACTTGTATTCACATTGTTATCATTTTTTGTTTTTAAACCTTTTAAATCGAATTACAATGGTTGGTAAGACTCACAAATGTGGGCAAACAAATTGTTTGTTCTCTGTTGAGGAGGGAACGCAGTGTGATGATTGTAAAAAGTGGTACCACAAAATGTGTACACGACTAAGTCCGACGGCTTACAAAAGATGCTCGAAGCCTAACTCGCATTGGCTTTGTATGTTCTGCTGTACGAATAAAAAGGTACTAATACAGGAGGCTATGGGCCTATTGGCTTTGGCCTGCAAGAAAAACGATGGCGGAAGCACTGATAACAGGAGCACTGACGATGAAGAATGTGTCAGTGTAGTAAATGCTGCTACTGAACCCGTTAAACACCTGACTGCGGTTGACGGGAACGTGGAATCTCCGTTGACATTAACGAGGAATGAAGTGTCGCTTGATATTGACATCGGCAGTCATACACCTCTAGTCGAAATAGAAGATCCGGGTAAAACTGTCACCGTTCCACATAGTCTAGGTGTGGCTGTTCTGAGTGGCGACAAATGGACTTCGGTAAGAAGAAAAAAATAAGAAAAAGGCTGTAGGCAAAACGCAGCTGGTCAGCAAGACATTGGAAGGGATGTTACCAGAAGAAAAATCCTCATCGCGTGACAAGACAGACCTCTGTGATAGATCAGTCATTTTTCATAAGATAAGACAGTCTTCAGATACTGAACCAAAGGCAAGATTTGAACATGATCTCAATTATACTAAGACATCATTAAGTAAACTACTCCCAGATACAGTTTCAGGAGTTAGTATTTGTAAGCTTTATAGAATAGGAAAAAAGGCGGATTCCGAAAGTCCTCAGAAAAACCGCCTCCTAAAGGTTACATTCAACACGGTGGAAGAAAGGAACTTGATTGTAAGTAATTCACGTAAACTGATTGGATCCGGAATATATGTCCGTGAGGATCTCAGCCTAGCTGATCGTATTAAGAGAAGAGCTGCAGAAGCGGAAATAAACGAGCGTCGCCGAAACGGTGAAAGAAACCTCGTTCTTAAGGGTTTTCAGATTGTAAAAGTTCGGAGCAAAACGATCCCCAAGCCACTCTGGGTGGCAAGGGAAAGCTCTCCACAGACTTAAAAGTGTGCTACACAAATGCTCGCAGCCTACTAAATAAAATGGCGGAGCTGAAGTCAGTGGTGGATAAAGAAAAACCGGACGTTATCGCTGTCTCGGAAACTTGGTTAACGTCAGAAGTATTAGATAGTGAAATCCAGTTGACTGGTTTCATAACCAGTAGGGCTGATAGATTAAACCGAAGGGGAGGCGGGGTTATTGTGTACACGAAAAGTACCCTAACCATAAGATTAGCTGAGACAGTAGCACATGTTTCAGGGACATGTGAACTGGTGAGATGTAAATTGAAATGCCGAAGGCAAGATATTGAAGTAGTTGTAGTTTATCGCAGTCCAGAATGTGTAGCAGATGATTTTCTCCTAAGTAAACGTAAGTCCTGGTGTAACAACGGTGAAAGCATTGTAGTAGGCGACTTTAATGCACCATATATAAACTGGGTTAACTTAGAAGTAGGGTCATCCATATCGTCGTTCGACTCCAAACTGTTAGAAACCTCGATTGGACTAGCATTATTCCAACACATTAGAGATCCCACAAGATACGACTTAAGAAACTCTTCTTCTCTTTTAGATTTAGTCTTCACACACGGCGATGACGTTAGTCAAACGGCTTTTCTCCCACCACTTGGGAGAAGTGACCATGCAGTCATCTTATTCAAATTCATGGCTGAGATTGCTTGTCAAACAATTGCGCCGGCCCGTCCTAACATATGGAAGGCAGATATGCAGGCAATTAACTCCGCAGCATCGGCTGAGAACTGGGAAATTGACTCAAAGGCATCAGTACAAGAGGCATGGACTCTATTCAGGCAGTTATACAATCGGGTAACTCAACCATACATACCCTGGACTGTCCCAAAAAAAAGAAGCACGGACATCCCTGGATAGGGCGGGATATTCGACGCTTACTAAGACAAAAGAAGAAATGCTGGGATGTTGCCATCCGCCTTGGCACAGCAGGTACGATGGAACGCTACAGATCGATAAGAAACGAGTGTATAACTAAAATTCGGGAAGCGCAAAGAAAATATGAAATGCAGCTGGCACAATCTGCACTCAAGCAGCCCAAGAGGATATTCTCGTACATAAACTACAGAACAAGGATTCATCATTGGATTCCCAACCTAATTAAAGTAGGAAGTGAATCTGAAATGATAGAGGAAGATCAGGAAAAAGCTGAGGTTATAGCTAACTATTTTGGGGCAGTTTTCACTCAGGAACCTCCTCTAGAGAAAGAACCAGACCCAATTACAGAGTCAACAAACCAGCTGCTCACCGTGGACTTCGACCAAAACGATGTGCTTAAGGCTCTTAGCACCCTAAACATGGAGAAGTCAACAGGACCAGATGAACTACACCCTAAAATCTTGAGACATATTGCCCAATATACCGCGGCCCCAGTGACTGTGATATTCAAAATGTCACTTGACCAAGGTGTGTTACCTATGGACTGGAAGGACCCAATCGTCACTCCCATACATAAAACAGGTCTACGACAAGTTCCATCAAATTACAGACCCGTAAGCCTCACCAGTGTTGTAATTAAAATACTGAAAAGAATAATCAAACGGACCATAACAGCGTTTATGGAAACCAATAACTTGCTGAACATGGCACAACATGGTTTTAGAAAGGGTCTATCCTGTACAACGAACCTCCTTATAGCTAGGGAGCTCTGGATTAATGCTCTAGACAACGGAAACTCAGTGGATGTTGTCTACATAGACTTCAGTAAGGCTTTTGACAAGGTGCCAACTAATAGACTGCTATTGAAGTTGGCAAACCTTGGTATTGCCGGACCTCTTTTAAAATGGATTAAGGATTTCCCAGTAGGTCTTAGGCAAAAAGTAAGAATAAATTCCAAGTGCTCCATCTGGAGACCAGTACTTAATGGAGTACCCCAAGGTTCCGTCCTAGGTCCTTTACATTTTATAATGTACGTTAATGATCTTACAAGTATAGTACAGTCTCCAATGTTATTATACGCTGACGATGTAAAAATTTGGCGAGTAATAACTGGAGACAAAGACGCATTTACTCTTCAGGCGGACTTAAATAATACGATAAACTGGTCTAAAGAGTGGCTGATGCCTATCAACTCGGAAAAGTGTCTACATGCACTTGGGGGATTCGAAGGTTAATACGTACAACATAGGGGATGTGTCATTACCCGTAGTCCGGTCTCATAAGGACCTAGGGGTGACAGTGAGCAATGATCTTAAGACGACGGCCCATTGCCGGGAGGTCGCAGTTAAGGGGTTTCGAACCCTCTGGGCTTTAAAAAGGACATTCACTAAGTTTGATACTACCATGTTCACCACAGTACACACATCCTTAGCGAGAACTAAGTTAGAGAACTGTGTTCAGGCTGCAAGCCCCTGTTTAAAAGGTGACTCAGAAATACTAGAAAAAGTACAGAGGGCAGCTACGCGTGCAATTCCGGAACTCCGGGGTTTATCATATAAAGAGGGGCTTGAAAAACTGAACCTCTTTACTCTGTCCTATCGCAGACTAAGGGGAGATCTAATATTGATGTACAGAATACTGAGAAATGACTTCGGACCTAACTTATTCTCTCTCTTTCTTCCCACTAGATCGGGACACCTCAGAGGACATAGCGGGCGAGTAGAAAAGCCAAGAACGAACAAAATACCCGTGGCATACAGGTTTTCACACCGAGTCATCAATGCTTGGAACCTCCTGCCTGAAGCAGTGGTGTCTGCACCTTCAATTGACTCTTTCAAAAGAAGACTGGACACTCACAGAAGCATACTAGAAAAGGAATAACATAGGCCGTAGGCCTTCTGTCCTTACTACACAAATCTGAATCTGAATCCTTCCCAAATTATCGGCCAAGCTGAGCGTATCCACATTGTAGAATACTTAAAACTATACATTGTTTACCAAACTTCGCTAGTGTCAGTGATGATTAACATGGAATTATCAGATCTCCCCATAAAGAGGGTACGTATAGAAGGCTGGCTGTTTCTTTCGTAATACAGTCCTCCAGTCTTTTCTAATGAATGCATAACATTTGGGCAATATATGCTCCGTATTTCAAGTATTTTAAAGAAGCTGGATATTCTGACAATAAACGTAGGATTACTCTGACTAGAAAACTTATTTGATCATGTAACTGCAGTGACCTGCTTTTATCAAGAGAACGCGATCGGTTTAATGAAAACAATTATTATTATAACCAATCGTACCAGGGATTGTTTCACCGTACTTGTTTTTTTTAACTGTACCAAAACACATACCTTCTTCCGTTGCTTGTAACCTTGCACGAATTCGGTTACGCTCAGTAACCACACTTGTAACCTGGCACGATCTCAGTATTCTTTAGATACCACGAGATCGCCAACAAATACATTTCGACTACAGTCATCAACCGCCTTCTGATATTTGGCTTACAGGGGATCTTATCGTTCAACTGGCACGTAGTCTTCCTGTAGTGGTGATCATAATCAACTGCGACTCGACGCCACACTTCATATATATGACGTAACGTTGCATATTTTGAG